TAGTAGTAGTAGTAGTAGTAGTAGTAGTAGTAGTAGTAGTATAGTAGTAGTAGGAGTAGTAGTATCAGTAGTAGTAGTAGTAGTAGTAGTAGTACTACTACTACTACTACTACTACTACTACTAGTGACTGCATCTGCGACACACACACACGCACACACGCACGCACACGCGCACATTGACATGTAAGCCGCTCCTTATGCCCAAGTGCCTGACCGGCGGTCGTTGCTGTTGAACGCAATCTAGGTTCCGACTTAGCATTTGCACAGTGCGAAACAACTGCTCTGGGCAGATCGCATCTCCAGGCTTCAGCGGTAGATGCTCGCAATGCGTCTGGCAGCTTTGGGATTGCGGCCTGCAATGGTCCAGGAAGATCTGAACAAGTTACTTCTTTCATTTCTGTTCTTGGCTTTTCCAGTCCTCCCGGTGGATGCTCAGGCAACTTATCCTTCCGAATTTCGAATGGACTGGTGTGTTGGTGACAGTTGCTTTGACCAGTCAATCAGCTGTGCACACTTCCAACTGCGTTTGCACAGCTACTATGCTGAAGGGTCTCGCCCGCCTCTGAGGGAGGCGTTCTTTTTGGTGACGCTGCCTCCTGTGTACCAGCGGGAGTTGTTGCTTGGATGCCCCGGCATGATGGTTCTTGCTCACCTCCTCCTCGCCGAGGTCCGGTTGTACACACACGACCCGAGCGAGGCAGCCACGCTGAATGCGAGGGCGCAGGCCATGATGGAGCTTCCAGAAATTACAGCAGTCCACTTGGAGAACATAAAGTATGCGTGGCCACTGGAGCTGGCTATGCAGCGGATAGCGAACACATCGTTAATGCTAGACGGCCGGAGGCCAATGACTGTGGACATAGTGCTGCCGCGATGTGGGGAAGACTTGTCTTGGCTGGCGAATGGCTCCCTCCTGCAGCTGTTGCCTGCGAGGACTCGGGTTTTTGTGTACGAAAAGTGTGGAGGCGATGCTAGCTTTGTGGAGTATTTGTCGATGCGGCTTGAATCGCACATTCAGTTGATCCACACACAGCTTGATGATGCGGTGGATCCAGCCACCGGCCTGGCAGCTCGCAGAGACGAATGCACAGCATACTTGAGCCACATTGTCCGTGAGTACGACAATCTAGGAGACATGACCCTTTTCTTGCATGGTGATCCGTCAGACCACACCCCCTTTGGTCTATTGAACATATTGCTTCGTGGCATTTCTCTGGGTACTTTTGCTGGCCTCGACTTTGTTCACCTGGGCTCGCCTCGCCTCGTTGCAACATACAATCCGTGCCAAAACGATATTTATGAGCGTGCCTTCAATCGCCCGCTTCAGGGCAGACTTTTTACTTACTGCTGCTCACAATTTGCTGTTTCGAAGCGGCGGATCCAGCAACGGCCACATGAGGAATATGCCAAAATGCTGTCACTCGTAGATGGTTCTGTGGCAGATGTGTGCGAACGAATAGGTCCGTCTTACGAGAAGTATGCTGGTCAGCGCTTGTCTCACTGTTTCTTCCTGGAGTTCATGTGGCATGTTGTTTTCGGCGAACCCGACGAGTTACCGCTCCGCGCAGATGAGCCGAAGCTTCCGCTTCCACTACGTTTGAAGGACAGCGATGAAAGCTTGCCTAGCTTGTGGAAAAGCTACATGTCTCCGGTCGTTGGCGGCTATGCCACCTTCCAACGGCAAAACTTCGAAAGCTGGCTTCATCAAGTTCGGACGCATACCGACTTGGGCCGAGCTGTGCAGAAGAACTTTGGAGATGGATTGACTTTCTGAGGCGGAAAGGAACTGCCGTGCAAGAGTCTTGTCACATGTGTGACCAGCGATCGGACATCCATTGCCTAAGCCCAAATATGAGATCTGGGAATGCCAGGTTGCCGGTTTGCGGAGGCTGTCTTGGAGTTCGCGCTCCCCGATGAGTACCCTGATACGGCTCAACCTGTGGTAACCGCGAGGTTGCCCGAAGGACCCATGGCCGATTGCTTCTCATGGCAATGTAATCTCGCCGGCATGGCATCGACATTCCTCAGCCTTACCTTGGGTTCTGCTAGGAGCCGCTGTTGGTGCAAGCGAGGAGGACTTAGTGTCAGTTGTGGAGGCTGCACTGGCAGACACCGTCGGCAACGTTGCTCTGTTCACCGTTGCGGAGGCAGCGGCAGCAGCACTCGATTTCATGTTACCGATGAGCACATGACAGTGCATCTAGAACATCGTCGCCAGAAAGCAGCTGCAGCAGCGATAGCATAAGAAGTCCTGTGCGTGTTGTTTCCGGTGATGATTATCGTTCCACAAAGGCGGTGCGTGATTGGCTGCGGGAGCATTGTCGCCTTCCGCCCGAAGCGACAGAGCCAGAAGCCGCGAAGCAGCAGGTTCGCTCAAGTCCTTGCGATTGTAAGCGAAAAGGGTTCAGGTCCAGGTGGGTTCGGTGCAGATAGGTAGAACCATGCCAGTCCGGTCAAGTGCAGCTATGCCTAGCAGCTGTATTTGCCCTGCGGCAGTTTTGATATCCACTGTCCTAGGACCTAGGAGCCGTTTTTCCGAAGAGGATTGCGAGGAGGTGGACGACGTAGAAGTGGACTCCTCCGACCTTGACGAAGAGCTCATCGAAGCCTTGCAAGAAGTCTTGGCAGGCCTCCTGCACGTTGGCTTAGGCAGCTTTCTGCCAAAGGCCAAGATGCAGCTGGCAGCCACATAATCCATGTGCGGCTTGTGAATTGCTGCCTGCGCTGCTGGCTGGGATGCACGTGTCCTGAGTCAGTCTTGGTAAAGGCGACAAAGACCGGCTCCGGGAGCTGCGCCGCATAAAGAACTTAGACACGGCGCAGCAGCACCAAGCTCTTCGACAAGTGCTCAAGACATTGAGTGCAGAGGCATGCAGCAGCTTTGCGACACGAGCTTTATCTGGAGAGACTGCTCAGACCCTGAAGGAGCGAGAGGCTTTGGTGGGATCTGACTCCGAAAGCGATCCCGGGCTGATGGGAGTGGGGGGGGAAGCGTATGTTCAGTCGGGAGATCATGTCGCTTGCCCCAGTCCGATGCTGGGATCAGCAATTGCGCGCGTGTAGCAGCCCTTGTCAGTACGAGCGGCGTACGCTTGCCAGATCCTCGTGTGCTACATGTGCAGACGCGCACGACTGCTGGACTGCGCTGGCAGGTGATTCAGCAAAGGAGGCATGGACAGTCAGCACCATTATCCTAGCCATGTTCATCAAGATAATTATCCTGTTCTTCATCATCAGCATCAGCAATCGTTCCTGCTGTGTTGTTGAGAGATCGCTGGAGTGGCGCTTTCCTTCGTGTTGTTAGGCGCAGCAGCTGGCATGAACACTCAATTGCCGGCAGGAACCTGCTCGGATGGTGCAGCTTGCCCCAGTAGCTTTGCACAAGTTGTGGAGACACGTTGGCAAAGGTGCCTCTCTCTTCTTCTCCCGGAGACACCGTCTGTGCGCTGAGGCCCAAATAGAATGCCCCGCTGGCCATGAGCTGGGTGCATTCTCCTCCCGCCCTCCGGACTACAGAAAGTTTGACGGATGCCCAGACCAACAGAGTAATGTGTTGGATTTGGGGGTCAGGCTACCTGCACTTGTGGAAATTTTCGATCAGTGGGATTTGTATTGGTAATTATGCATCGCGGCATAGCGTGACCGTTGAAGTGTCCGACCTGTTCCTCATCTCAGTTGTGCAAACTGTAACGAGAGTTCCTGTCATCAAAGGAGACTTGTACACCTGCGACGTTTGTGGCCGGGACGGAGAGTATCGTTACGGCGTCTATCACTGTGCGAAATGCTTTCAGCAAGGCTGGGCAGCTGCCTAGGCCTGCTGTGTGCAGTTGCTTGGTCATGCAAGTCCAGACAAGACTCAACCCAAGGCGGACGCCAGTTCGATGCCTGCCCCTCTTGTGGAATCTCTGCTCGCGGAAGCAAAGGTGGCAGAGGTGGCAAAGCCGACAAGGCTTCAAAGAGCAAGCAGAGGAAGCGCTGACAGCATGAAAATGCAGCGAAATGACCGAACACGGATACTCTTCCTGCATGTGTGTCCGGTACAAGTGCGAAGCAGCCCTCACGAACAGTACCAGCGCAGTCTCACACGTGGTCGGCATCTTCGGCCCCAAGTCGCTACTGTCACCGACAACTAGGCTTAACTAGACAGCTGTTCGAATGCTCAGACATGGTGAACTCATGGTAGCCGGACAGCATCATCTGCACAGAAAACCGCAGGCGCAGAAGGGAGAACACTTGCAAAACATCTCGTGAAATTTGCCGGCCGAGAAGCACCGAGCCATGTCGCTTCCGAAGTACAAGGCGCCTGTCAAGCCTGTGCGAGTTTCATGCAAAATTACATGCAACCTCTCTCCATCGTGACGGCTGGCGGCCGACAGGGCCGACATTCCCGGGAATCCTTGAGATACATTGCAAGATGTCGCGCAGAAGCTCAAACGGAAGATTTTTTGTTACTGTTGATTGCGGTCCGAGCAGGTGGTCCTGGTCGGCGACCAGTCCGTCGGAAAAACCGCGGTAGTAGTGCACCGGTCCTGGCTTGGCTGATGTGCACTTGTTCGGGCCCGCGTGCAACGGATGGAAGATGCTGAGGCGATATCTGAAAAACACGTTCGAAGAAAAGGCTATCGGTCCGTTGAGTAGCAGCAGATCAGCAGATGAGAAAGGTAAATTGTAGCTTGGGAGGCGGAGGCAACTATCGGCATGGACTTCCAGACCAAGACTGTGCAGCTGCTGAGTGGTAGCCCATCCCTCAAGCAAATAGTGTCATTGGCGTCGGCTTATGGGTTCTGCCACCAATGGCTTGGATCAAAATATGTTAGCTGCGGGAACGCGTGGCAACACACCGGCTTACATATTCATACGCTTGCGTGCAACCGCCAGGTCAGATACGTCTTCAGCTTTGGGACACGGCGGGTCAGGTTGGACGTGGATCACGGTGATTGCTGTCAAGACGTTTGTCCCCGCTCAACCATGATCTGCAAGTTAGTGGGAGGAGAGGTTTCGCAGCTTGGTCAACGGCTACATCCGTGATGCAGCTGCAGCTGTTGTTTGGTCGGTGGCCCGGGCATCTGAGGAAATGCTATCGCACCTACTCGCAAAAATGCCGGTCAGAATGTACATATTTTGTGCATGTGGTTCGACCTAGCATCTCCTCCTCCATTCAGAATCGCTCTTGCCATTAAATTAAATCTGCCAAGTTACGACGTGACCAATCGCCAATCCTTCGACAGCACCACGCAATGGATCGAGGACGTGCGTGGCTGTCTTTGAACAGGAAGAAGCCGCCATTAATGATGACCAGGGCTTTCAGCATGGTGGTTCTGTTGTGTCAGCACTACAGAGGCTGTTTGTCGCTACGTGAGTGATGTTATCGGTCTAGACAAGAGCTGCGGAAACGTCGCCATCCAGGATGCAAAGGAAAATGATTCCGTGCGGTTCAGCTCGGGGGATCTGGCAGGATCGGTTTCTGCCAGGCCGACTCCTAGAGAGACTGAGATTCGTAGTTCTTTCCTTGAGAGAGCATCTATGCAACGGCAAATTGACAAATTTGTTTCCAAGCTGAAGGGTCACTGGCCTGGCCGTGCGTCTACGTAAGTGTGCAGGAAGTTCGGCAGTCCCGCGGCGACGATGTCCTTGTCTATCTGGTAGGCAACAAGGCGGAAAGTACTGCTATCTCACGTCGCGCGAACTTCGCGAAGTATGTTGCTGGAAGTTGCAGGTGGACCTCGCGGAGAGTCGTGCTTTGCCTCAGTTCTTTTAATCTGGGCGCTGACATCTGTTGCCAGTGACATCTCGACATTTGAAGCCCCCAGCTGACCGAGGGCAGGTCTCGCGTGCAGAAGGCGAGGCAAAGGCAGCAGAGGCTTCTTGCACCCCGCAGACGTTGGGTGGAGATACAGTCATATACCGCAGCTAGCTCACCATGTGCAGCCGCAGTCTAAAGAAAACTCAACCTTTCAAGAACAGGTGAAGGGACGATTTGCTGAAACAAGCGCGCGGTCAGGGGACAATGTGACATCCTGAGAACTCGGCGCGACTCCTGCTTGCACTTCCACTGACCTCATTATCCTGTTTAAGCTTGTTATGTGCACCTCATGTGGTCAAGGTCCAAGAGCTTTTCAAGCAATTGGGAGAGGCGGCTATATGTGCAACTCTTTCCATGTCAATTTGCGTCCTCCAGACTTATATAGATGCTCCTTTCATGTCGACGAAGGCCCTGGCACAGCGCGGAGATGGTGGAGCGCTGAGTTTGTGAGTGAGTTTTTGCCAGCATCACCACAAACTTAGCACTCCGCGTGTGCCTCCTAGGAGGGACTGCCGCGAGTCAAGCCAAGGACACTTTCATAACACATGGTAATGACAGGCATAACTATAGTCTTAGATAGGCAGCGTAGACACGGTCTTTGCTTGCCGACCCAATGTGTTCCGTACGGCTCTATTGCTCGTTGTTTTGATGAGTCTGCAAACTTTTTGAAGCCTGCAGGAGAAGCTGCAACTTGGCGGGTTACCGCCTGAGTACCACAAGTACGAGATGTTAAAGTCCTCTACCTCTAACCACAGACTGTCCTCGCTTTGTTCGTCCACCCAGCGCCTTACCAACCATAGATCGAAGACATTGGAAGACCGTGCCCACCGAAGCATTTGCAGCTTCGCATTGCGTGGAAGCATGCGCAACCGGCTGGCAATCATGCATTTTGCCAATATGAGGGTGTTGTACTCGTGTTTGTCTGTGTGTGTGTCCTGTTTTTTTTTTTTTTGTGTGTGTG